ACCTGTGAGTGTAAGAAACTTATTACTTCCAAGTCTTGTTCTCATTTCCTCCTGTAGCTGCACAAGCTTTTTCAAACCATGTCCAACATTTACATTCTTTGAACACGTAGGAAGTGTTTTGATTTTTTTTTTTTAAGACAGTCTTGCTCTGTCACCCAGGTTGAAGTGGAGTGGCATGACCTTGGCTTATTGCAACCTCTGCCTCCCGGGTTCAACGTGATTCTCCTGCCTCAGTCTCTTGAGTAGCTGGGATTACAGGTGTCCACCACCACACCCGACTAATTTTTGTATTTTTAGTAGAGACGGAGTTTCACCATATTGACCAGGCTTGTCTTGAACGCCTGACTTTAAGTTATCTACCCACCTCGACCTCCCAAAGTGCTGGGATTACAGGCATGGGCCATTGCACCCAGCCTGAGCCACTGTGACTGTCCGTAAGTTTTGAATCTGAAGCAATTCACTTGTTTTATCGTCTTCGAGCTTTTAGGACAATATAGGTGATGGAACTTGTTTTTAATGAGAATATTGTAGAGTTTAAGTGTTTCACTGTGAAGTGGATGACCAAGGTTGGAAACAAAATTTAAAAAACTCTTGGGCCAGGCTTGTGGCTCATGCCTATAATCCCAGCACTTTGGGAGGCTGAGGTGGGCAGATCACAAGGTGAGGAGTTCGAGACCAGCCTGACACACATGGCAAAACCCCGTCTCTACTAAAAAATATATGAAAATTAGCCGGGCATAGTTGTGCATGCTTGGAATCCCAGCTACTCAGGAGGCTGAGGCAGGAGAATTGCTTGAACCTGGGAGGCAGAGGTTGCAGTGAGCCTAGATCTCACCACTGCACTCCAGCCTGGGGAACAGAGCAAGACTCCGTCTCAAAAAAAAAAAAAAAAAAAAAAAAAAAAATGCCAGGTGTGGTGGCTCACATCTGTAATCCCAGCATTTTGAGAGGCTGAGGTGGGTGGATCACGAGGTCAAGAGATCGAGACCATCCTGGCCAACATGGTGATATCCAGTCTCTACTAAAAATACAAAAATTACCTGAGTGTGGTGGTGCTTGCCTGTAATCCCAGAAACTTGGGAGGCTGAGGCAGGAGAATCGCTTGAACCAGGGAGGCAGAGGTTGCAGCGAGCCACGATCGTGACACTGCACTCCAGCCTGGTGACAGAGCGACACTCCATCTGAAAAAACAAAACAAAAAAACAAAAAAACTTTTTAATCAAAATATTAGTTATTTCATGAGGGAAAGTATAATCAAAATAGAATTTATATGAACTATTTAAAGAGGATTAATGCTTTCAAGTAGCTGAATGAACTCACTTGTAAATATCTAAATGCTCTGTGAGAGAGTGTCTTAAGCCATCTGTAAACTTTATGGATGAGGCAAGATTTGGTCACCTATTAAATATCTTGGATAAAATCTTCATTTTAAAAAAATGGACAAGTTTTTCCTGTTATTAGGAATTATTCTTTGTTATGTAAGTTTCAAGGTCTGGATATAGTTTTGGTTGACAACTTGCATTATGAGACAAACTAATTTAGCCAACACTACCTCTCTTTAATGGGGACAGATTGTTATATTTGGGTAAGTCCTTTTTATTTTTTGAGATGGAGTTTCGCTATTGTCCCCCAGGTTGGAGTGCAATGGCGCAATCTCTGCTCACTGCAAAAACCTCTGCCTCCTGGGTTCAAGCAATTCTCCTGACTCAGCCTCCCGAGTAGCTGGGATTTATAGGCACCCACCACCACGCCCAACTAAATTTTTTTTTTTTTTTTTTTTTTTTTTTGAGACGGAGTCTCGCGCTGTCGCCCGGCTAGAGTTCAATGGCGCGATCTTGGCTTTCCGCCTCCCAGGTTCAAGTGAGTCTCCAGCCTTGGCCTCCCGAGTAGCTGGGATGACAGGTGCTTGCCACAACTCCCGGCTAATTTTTTGTATTTCTAAATAGAGACGGGGTTTCACTATGTTGGCCAGGTAGGTCTCGAACTCCTGACCTCATGATCCACCCGCCTCGGCCTCCCAAAGTGCTGGGATTACAGTGTGAGCCACTGTGCCTGGCCAGCTAATTTTTGTACTTCTAGTAGAGACGGGGTTTCACCATGTTGGCCAGGCTGGTCTTGAACTCCTGAACTCAGGAGATCCACACGCCTCAGCCTCCCAAAGTGTTGAGATTACAGGCGTGAGCCATCGCGCTCAGCCTGGGTAAGTCCTTTTTAGAAATCAGATTAAACAACCGTCATTTTAAATACTGCAAACTTCTAAGGGCCACTTAGTTGGCATAATTATTGTTGTGCAAGAGACTAACCATTCAATTTCTTAAACGAAAAGCTTTGATTTGTTGCTTACTCTCTGTTTCACTCTGAAATGCCTAAAACTTAATGGCTTAAAACAATGACTGACGTATTACTTTTCTGTGTGTACTGGGAATTCTGCTTCAGTTGGCAGTGACTGGAATCTCATTCAGGTCACTGGTACATTCAGCAGCAGAGGGGCTGGACTGGAGGAGCTAAGCGAGCTTCATGGGCATGCTTGGTACCAGGGGCTTCACCATGGGCTGCTTGGGTTTCTTCATGACATGGCCTCAAATTAGTCCAACTTTTCGCATGATGGTTAGCTTCAAGCTGCCACACTTTCCTAAAGGGCAGGCCTGGAATTTCATGTTGTACTAGGCTAAAGCAAGTCCCAGGCCAGCCCAGATTCAAAGATGGGGAAAAGAATCTCCCTCTTGTGACCACAGTGGCAAGTAGGAAGGAATTGATAATGTATCTGTGGCCTTCACTAACCAAAGGAACTCTGTACTTGTAAATCACAGCCAAAGTATGAGATGATACAGAGCTTTAGGAAACATGGGATTCAGGGATTGGCCAGTTTTTGAAAGCAAGAGTGTTGCTGGCTTTCTTTTGGTGGTAAAAACGTGATCACTGGCCTGAGCCAAAAGCTAACTTTCCAAAGCATGGTCAGAGTGAAGGCTGGTGCTGACTGGCTTTCAGAAATGCATAGCTGTCAGATTGGGTGACTTTCATAAGCGTGTGTACTGAGGAGAGATTGTCTGATTAATTGCTTTCAATGTCTGATTACTTGTCTCCCATCAATTTTTGTGGTTACCCATTCATGGCTTGAGACTATGGCCAAGAAACTGTCTCAGGCTTGAATATGGAGAACATGAGTATTCTCATCATTAGGAATATTAAAGTGTTCTTGTTAATACAGGCTTGCTTTATTTTATTTATTTATTTAATTAATTTATTTATTTATATTCATTCATTCATTCTGGCACCCAGACTGGAGTGCAGTGGCATGATCTTGGCTCACTGTAACCTCTGTCTCCCAGGCTCAAGTAATTCTCCTGCCCATGGCCTCCTGTGTAGCTGGTTCTACCACACCCAGCTAATTTTCTGTTTTTAGTAGAGATGGGGTTTTGCCATGTTGGCCAGGCTGGTCTCAAACTCCTGACCGCAAGGGAACCGCCTGCCTCAGCCTCCCAAACTACTGGGATTACCAGCGTGAGCCATGGCACCCAGCTGGCTCTATTCTTGATAACAGATTTGTCACAGTTATTGGACTGTCTCCAGAAAGTATTCATTTTAATTTTTTATTGAGAAATGTGACAAATTTAGAAAGTGTATTTTCTTTCACAGTAGGTTAAAATAAAGAACCACCCTAAAGGCTTACTTATAGATAGATGTTACCTCAAACCTCCATCAAGATGGCATGCTCATGGCAATGCTGAGTAGAATGAAATACTGGTAAAAATATTTTCCCATGAAGTATTCAGAAGTTATAACATGTAGGTACAAAGTATACCTTCTTGAGATACGAGTAATCAGTAAATATCATATTAGGGGTCCATAAATGCTAAACATCAGACAGGTCAGAATGTCACAACGAGGCATGATTAAGAAGCTTAACATTAGACGGGTGTGGTGGCTCATGCTTATAATTCCAGCACTTTGGGAGGCTGAAGCAGGCAGATTGCTTGAGCCCAGGAGTTCAAGGGCAGCCTGGGCAACATGAGGAGACCCCATCTCTACAACAAAAAAAAACAGGCAAAAATTAGCCAGGTGTGGTGGTGTGTGCCTGTAGTCCCAGCTACTCAAGAGGCTAAGGTGGGAGAATTGCTTGAGCCTGGGAAGTGGAAGTTGCAGTGAGCCGAGATCACGTCACTGCATTCCAGTCTGGGTGACAGAGCAAGACCCTGCCACACACACAAAAAGAAGCTGAACATCAATGAAAGTCTCTTTATTAGGAAGGGGAAGTAAGACGCCGGCAGGTTTAGATTGTAGCAGCATATGACAATCACATGCAGTGCAGGCAATAAAATAATTTTATAGATTACTAGTAATGCAGCTGATGGAATTGGGTATCGTAAGTTTTTCGTTATTGGGTTACGTTAGCTAAGTATGACTTACCAATGGTACCTTATGGGATAGTGAGAAAATCATAAAACGATACAGGGAAAGCTGGCCATTGATTTGGGAGAAAATAAAGGAATACTGTGGGTGAGGAAAGAAAAAGACCCTCTCACATTGTTTTATATTGTTTTATACTCAGTACCTGTTTTAAGGAAAAAACAAAGAAGTAACACCAAAGACAGGCAGCCCGGCGCCAGGCACAAAACCAGGCCTGGGTCTGCCTGGCCTAAACCCAGTAGTTAAAAATCAACTCGTAACTTAGAAACCAATGTTATTCATAGATTCCAGACATTGTATAGAAGAACATTGTGAGACTCCCTGCCCTGTTCTGTTTCTCTCTATCAGTGCCTGAAACCCCTGTCACGTATACCCTAGATTGCTGAATCAATCACGACCCTTTCATATGAAATCTTTAGTGTTGCGAGCCCTGAAAAGGGACAGAAATTGTGCACTCAGGGAGCTTGGATTTTGAGATGGTAGCTTGCCAATGCTCCCAGCTGAATAAAGCCCTTCCTTCCACAACTTGGTGTCTGAGAGGTTTTGTCAGCGGCCAGTCCTGCTACATGGGGAGGGATCAATGAACAATTCGATTTAATTTAGACAATGTTTATTTCATATTTTACTGCTACATTCCATCAAGAAATTTCTTGTTTTGATGTTATGACAATTCAGCAAGTAAAAAACACATTTCTTTGAAAAAATATTTCTAAGCTCAGGCTCTTAACATATAAATATAATGCACAAAATAAACATACTGCAAAAAAACCACCCACCTACAAATTGCTGTATGCATCATTTCTGAAACATGTAATATTTATAAAAGCATAACTCTACATTACTTTTATTTTCAGCGCTAAGTAACAGAAAAACTTACTTTGTAAAGTGCTAGATCATAGGCTCAAGGGCATAAGGTGTCTGCCACAGCTACTCAACCCTGCAGGGGTAGTGCAAAGACAGCCACAGGTCAAACATAAACAGATGTTTTTGTTTGTATTCATGTTTTCTAAACTTTATTTATGGACACTGAAATTTGAATATTACATAATTTTCATGTGTCACAGTATTCTTTTTTTAACCATTTAGAAATATAAAACCATTCTTAGCTTGCAGGATACAAAAATGGGTAGTGGGCCAGATTTGTCTGGTGGACCGTCATTTGTCAAACCCTGACTTAGTGTAGTCAGGATCTGCTCCTAAATCACTTCTAGGAAAACAAACAACAACCAACCAAATCAAGGCACTGGCAGCAAGAAGGTGGGGAATGAATGTTGGGTAGCCAACTTTTTTTTTTTTTTTTGCAGCGTAATTCACAAAATACAAATAATAATGATGATAACCTCTAACATACAGCTCTTGTGTCTCAGACACTATTCTAAGTGCTTTGAAAATTTCAACTCATTTAGACCTCAAAACAATCCTAAGATGTTGTCACTATCACTACTCTTTTATGGGAAGGGAATTGAGGCACAGAGATATTAAGTAGCATGCCCCAGGCTGGAATTGGGGCCCAGGTGGCAGGATTCCAGAGTCCACACCTTTAACTATGTCATGTTGCTTCTATGAGGAAGAAAAAGTTGGTGAAGAACACTTAGGACTCTCAGAAAAATACAAATGCAGGTATCTCTGCTCCCTGCTCATACATCAACAGTAAGATACACAATATTTCTTACATTGCACTATTTGTTTTCATTGTATAGATTGTAATAAATATTACTGTTTTTAGCTGTTTAAAAACAGCTCAGGCTTTTGCTATATATAAAGGTGTCCCTAATGCAAAACTTGGCTGACATTTGAAAATTTTACAAAAACATTTTAACTTCTTTTTGAAGGATTAGTTTAGTGCCACTGTCTACATCCATTTGCAAACACACACACACACACACACAAATAGGATAAAAAGATGCCTTATAGTTTAAAAGAAATACTACACTTACAATACAAATATTAACAACAAGAGTCACTACTGAGACTTAATGTGCGATATCTTCATAGGCATAATAGTTACTGAACGAACGAAGGTTACGTATTTCCCTATGTACAATTATGGATGGATTCCACATGCACATTGAACATCCACAAGTTACATGTTATAGCACACTCACATATACACAGTCCTATATACCAAAAGACATTTAATGTATGTTTAATGATGTTGCCTGATAATTTGTGCTTTTTAAAAGCTTCATATATGTAGACATTTGCAGGTTTCCTTTTAAAACAGAGCAATCTTGGCATCAGATCTGCAACACGATTTCTAGTATAACTGTTTCCCTCAGTACAAATTATTTGAATTTTTGTTGAACACCTTCCAAATATTTAAAATATCTATCCAAGTACCAGTGATCTGACATTGAATGAAACATCAATTCTTAATAAAGGCTTCTGTATCTGCCACCGTCTTTGCAGTTCTCCCTTTGAATTCTCTAGTATATGAGCTCCAATTGTGTAAAGAGATTTCTGGATACTCAAGGAGCTTCTCACTTATGAGCTTTTGGATGTCTACAGCTGGCTGCCCTGACAGAAAATGTCTTGACATTCATTTTACTCACAGGATTTCTCTCCTGTGTGATTTCTATGTTGCAAAACGAAAGTATGACTTCTGAAAGGTTTCCCTGTTTTACAATTTGCATGACTTCTGTCATTTATATTATCTAATATTTAGAAAAGTCTACAATATGATAAAATTTTCTCCCAAATAAATGTACAGAATCTATGTATTTGCTGATACACAGAAAGAGCAAAGATTGTAGCTGAAAATTTCCCTATATTGATGTGATTCATAAGGTGTACCTCTTGTGTGAATTATCTGATTGTTCTGAAGGATGAATTCAGTCAAGAGAATTTCCCAACTCATCTTACTTCTCAGCCTTCCTCTTCTTTGTGTGTGTCTTCTGATGTGCAGTGAGTTGTGACTTCTGGATAAAGGTTTCCCCACACTCCTGACACTCATAGGGCTTCTCCCCTGTGTGTTTTCTCTGATGTATAATAAAATGTGACTTCTGAGAAAAGGACTTCCCACATTCCTTGCATGTATAGGGCTTCTCTCCTGTGTGAGTCCTTTGATGTAATCTGAGGACCGAATTCACAGAGAAAGATTTGCCACATTCTGTGCATTCATAGGGCTTCTCCCCTGTGTGTTTTCTCTGATGTTTAGTGAGGTCTGATTTATAGTAAAAGGTTTTCCCACATTTATTACATTCAAAGGGTTTCTCCCCTGTGTGAGTTCGCTGATGTACTGTGAGGGCTGACTTCTGGTAGAAGCATTTCCTACATTCCTTACATTCATAGGGTTTCTCTCCTGTGTGAGTTCTCTGATGAGTTTTGAGGTGTGAATTCCTAGAGAAGAATTTCCCACATTCCTTACATTTATAGGGTTTCTCCCCTGTGTGTGTTCTCTGATGTACTGTGAGGTGTGACTTCTGGGAAAAGGCTTTCCCACACTCCTTACACTCATAGGGTTTCTCCCCTGTGTGTGTTTTCTGATGTACCATGAGGTATGCCTTCACATAGAAGAACTTCCCACATTCAGTACATTCAAAAGGTTTCTCCCCTGTGTGTGTTTTCTGATGTTCTATGAGATGTGGTTTCTGGTAGAAGGATTTCTCACACTGATTACATTCGTAGGGTTTCTCTCCTGCATGGGTTCTCAGATGTCTACTGAGAGATGATAGGTGGTAAAATATTTTCTTACATTCTTTACACTCATAGGTTTTATCTCTTGTGTGAATTTTCTGATGTCTTGTGAGGTCTTCATTTTTGGAGAAAGAGTTCCCACATTTATCACAATCATAGGATTTGCCCTTTGAGTGAGTATGCTGATGTACTATGAGGGCAGACTTCTGGCAGAAGAACTTCCCACATTCCTTACATTCATAGGCTTTCTCTGTGGTACGAGTTTTCTGATGTTTTGTGAGTTCTCCATTCCTAGACAGAAAGTTCCACATTCATTAATGTGTAAGACTTTTAAGGCTTTTTGTTCCCTCACACTGGGCATATTTTCCAAGTACCTCTGAGGACTGATTTCTAGAGATGTTCCCATATTGGTTCCATAGGGTTTCTCCACTGTGAACATTCTCTGACCTGCACTGTAGTTTAACATTTGGCAAGGTGAATCTGCATCTGCATTCTAGTCACAGGGTCTCTCAATTGCCTGCTTTCTGTTTTGTGTAATAAAGACTCCCTTTATTATTTAATTCAGAAGAGTAAAAAGACTACTTCAAAGTTTCAGTCTCCTGATCCTGCACAAGGTCTCTATGAAAAGGGGCATTCCCATTTGGATTATATTCCTCGGGATTTGCTCTGCAGTGTTAGTTTTCTCATGTTTAGTATTAACTAGTGTCCTCCCATTTCCAGTAACTCCTTCAAGACTCTTGCTTACAAATCTTTAATCTTAAACATTAATTCTTGAACTTGCCTTGAATTTCCAGCTTGGCTTTCCCGGTATCTTGCTTCTAGATCATGAATACTCCATAGGTCTTCTACAAAGGAATAAAAAATTTAATACTTTATAAATATTAACACATTAATATTGTCATAGCATTGATTCTTAGGCTTCAGGCCAATTTCTCATAATGGAAGAACCTCAAATGCAAATTTCCTCTAGCCCATTGTTTTGGAAAAATAAACTAAAACGAACACTAAAAACTGCTGTCACACACAGAAGAAGGAGCCTAGTTGTAGACCCATGTACTCTGACATTTTTACAAATATGACCTTAAGAGCTTGGAGGCGAAAGTTAAAGACAAAAAAAGAACCGGGAGAGGAGAACGTAAGACATTAGAAGTGTTACTGAACAAGAGTGTGGGAAGTATAGAGAATGCTGTGAGCCCCTTAAGTACCATGAACAGTAAGCAGGATAAGAAAAACTACTGGACAACAGTGTTCCCTGGAATTACATGGAAGACTAAACTGGAAGAAGGAGCTAAAGTATACTGAAGTATAGGTCTTTATTGCCTCAAACCTAGATTACTGTGCTAGGATTGCTAGTATTTAGCAGACAAACTTCTACTTTATTTCCTCTTCATCCATCCACAGCAATCTAGGTATCAATACTAAAGGGACTTTCTCAGAACATCAGTTTCCTCAGGCTTAGAGGAAGAGTCCTGTAGCTTAGGCTTTCACTCTCCATCTAGCTGGCTTTGTTTTCAGGACAGGAAGATGGAGGACCACATATATCCAAAAGGAAGGATTTTCTTAAAAGCATCAGGATAAGCCATCTATACAAGTATGAATTCCTAGTTGTAAAACCAGAGATTTTCAATCCTGAACTCATCCTGACCACCAAATCCTGCACTTCTAAAGCACTTGTTACTTATGACTCAGCACTAGTCTTGAATTTCATTTTCATATCTCGCTTCTTCCATCTCTGCTTCCAATTTACTACAGGATCTTTAAAGGTCAAATTATTGAACATCATTCTAGAATCTTTAGTGACCTTCATATTTATGCATCTTTAAACGCATGAAAGCAAGTGAAAGGTTATCAGTAGAAGCTTGGGGTTGGAATTTCATAGCAATGGTAGGGAATACATAAGAAAAGTCACTTGATAAGGAATTATGCAACGTTAACTCAGGCACACATGAAATAAGATTATATGAATGGGCCGGGAATGGTGGCTCATGCCTGTAATCCCAGCACTTTGAGAGGCTGAGGTAGGTGGATCACCTGAGGTCAGTAGCTCGAGACCAGCCTGACCAACATGGTGAAACCCCGCCTCAACTAAAAATACAAAAATTAGCTGGGCCAGGTTGCAGGCACCTTAATCCCAGCTACTCAAGAGGCTGAGGCAGGAGAATCACTTGAATCAGGGAGGTGGAAGTTGCAGTGAGCCAAGATCGTGCCACTGCACTCAAGCCTGGGCAACAGAGTGAGACTCCATCTCAAAAAAAATCTTATGTTTGGAAAACATTTAAGAGCAGAGTAAAATGGAAGTTAACAGGTGTTTTGGGGCCACAAGGAGAAATAAGTTGCATAGGCAAGAGAGGGCTAGACTAGTTCTTGACAGAAAATTCATTTAAATGAATATTACTAATACCTCCTTACCCTTGTAAGTTTTTTATTTTGTCTAAATGACTCAATACTGAGTCAGTATTAGTCATACCATGCAGGCTTCTGGCAATGTACATCTGCTGCATTACACAGCTACTGTGGGAATTTAGATCAACAATTTTTGTTTTGATCCTAACAAGGAAGGAAGTGGAATGAGCAGAACCATCTTACAAGAAGGTAAAAATATGGGATCAGAATATAAATAGGGCAAAGATGCTGGAGAGGTCAATTTTAGGAGTCTTTATCATAAAAACCAATGCATTGGCCTTAAGAATGGATAAGCTCTTATAGGAGTTAATAAAAAAAGCACAGAGCAGAACGTAGAGAGTGTCTGTTGTCAGTTATGTTATATATTTTTAATTTCTTTTTTTCATGAACATGAGTCTCACTGTTGCCTAGGCTGGAGTGCAGTGGGGCAATCTTGGCTCATTGTAACCACTGCTTCCTGGGTTCAAGCGATTCTTGTGTCTAAGCTTTGGTCTCCCAGGTAGCTGGGACTACAGGTCTGCACCACCATGCCCGGCTAATTTTTGTATTTTTAGTAGAGACAGGGTTTCACCATGTTGGCCAGGCTGGTCTCGAACTCATGCTCTCAAATGATCCACCCGCTTTGGCTTCCCAAAGTGCTGCGATTATAGGCGTGAGCCACGACGCCCAACCAGTCTCTTGTTAATTAATATTCATTCTTTCAACAAATATCTAGTGAGCAACTAATATATACTAGGCATTGTTCCTGATACTGGCAACACATCGGTACACAAGTTAGAAAATACATCATAAACATTTAAGGAGGCAGGATGAGACTGCCTTAGTGTTATCCAAATAAGATACAGTAGATTTTAGGGGGGATAAGGAGTACTTTGTGGGAAGGATAAACACTGTATAGCAGGAAGTAGCAACTCCGAAATGAAAGAATTGTTGAGCCGCATAACGATTTTTAATCTGAGTTCAGAGTTTAAAGAAAATATGGGAAGTTAAAATTGGTGCGAAAATAACTGAGGTATTTTATTGTTAATAAAAGGAGGGAGATGCCATTTTAAAAAGTTGTAAGATTTACAAACACTTTATAGTTGCATACTCTAATGGCAGGGAGTAACTGGCGATGCTAGAGAAAAAGACAAAATACAAGGTAAGGAGGGATTAGAGTTTGTATATAGGAAAGAGAAGTAAATCTATTTAAAACATGTCTAGCAAAGGAGAGATTTAAGTGGAGAGAACAAAAATTGGAGGTGTGAATTAGGTTTTTTCACATGTGCAAATAAAGTGTCCTTAATCGCTTCCAAAACTATAGGGCATTTACAAAGAGACTACCTAGGCTGGGCGCAGCGGCTCATGCCTGTAATCCCAGCACTTTGGGAGGCTGAGGTGGGTGAATCACCTGAGGTCGGGAGTTGGAGACCAGCCTGACCAACATGGAGAAATCCCGTCTTTACTAAAAGTACCAAATTAGCCAGGCATGGTGGCGCATGCCTGTAATCCCAGCTACTCAGGAGGCTAAGGCAGGAGAATTGCTTGAACCTGGGAGGTGGAGGTTGAGGTGAGCTGAGATGGCAACATTGGACTCCAGCCTGGACAACAAGAGCGAAACTCTGTTTCCAAAAAAAAAAAAAAAAAAAGTGAGAGATTGCCGAAAAATATTTCAGAAGGCAAGAGGCACCAACCACTCACCAGTAACACAGGATATAATTTCTTCTAACTCACCAGGGAAACCCCGATGTGGATATTCTACTTCTAATATCCACGGCTCTCTTCCTTGCTTCAACTTGAAGACTGCATTTGGCTTATTCACATGGTAACCTATGAATGGAAAATATCAAGGAAATGATACAAATTGCTTGGAATTTAGGGACTGAAAGATGAGGAAGTGGAATTTCAGGAGAATGATGAAGGTTGCAGTTAGGCTTGGCAAATTTAGATTCTTTCAGTGGGGAGACAGGGACACAAATATTTTTTCTAGTACCCAAAATGCATTTATTAACTTCGAACTCTGAATCATAGCTAATGTCAATCATTCAACCCTATAGGGACCTTTTATATTCCAGCAGCCAAGAAGGGAGATGCAAACTACCAGGATTTACACCTGGGGAAGTTTTCCTCACCCACTGAGACCAGGTGACTATAGTTTTCCAGCATCACATCCTTATACAGAGTCCTCTGAGCAGGGGTCAGTAACTTCCATTCCTCCTTGGTGAATTCCACAATAACATCCTTTAATGTCACGGGTCTCTGGAATAACAAGCTTCAGTTAAATCTGAAGTAACCAGAATAGATAGCATACCATTGAAAAGACATCTGAGCTAGCTCTTAGTGTACTAACTGCAAAGTTCACTCTGGAGAGTTAGGATATGTGCCATGCTGTATCCTGCTTTATTCATAGAAGGAATATTTGTTCAGTACATATTTACTGAGCTCCCACTCCATGCCTGGAACTCTGCTGAAGATACAAAGATGAAGAAAAAAATGAGTGTCATGTGCCGCATAATGACATTTCAGTTAATGATGGATTCCATATATGATGACGATCCTATAAGAAAATATAGTATTTTTATTGTCTGTTTTCTATGTTTAGATACACAAATTCTTACCATTGTGTTACAAATTGCCTACAGTGTTCAGTACAGTAACATACTATAGAGGTTTGTAGCCTAGGAGCAATGGGCGACACCACATAGCCTAGGTGTGCAGTCAGCTGTACTATCTAGGCTTGTGTAAGGACACTCTATGATGTTTGCATGACGAAGTCACCTACTGACACGTTTCTCAGAACATATCCCCATCACTAAGTGACACAGGACTCTATTCCTGTTAACGAGGAGCTTATATTTTGCCAGGGAGACAAAGGTGAAAATGCTAAATTACAGTATGTGAAGCAGATGCCACGACAGAAACAAGTACACAACATGAGATGGCCACAAATGAGGGTAATTATTTGCATTTCATATTGTCATGTTAGATTTTATTAGGTGGTCAAACTAACTTTAGGAATAAAGAAAACACAATTGGAAAAGGCATGGATTCATGAGAAATGGCAAGTTTAGGAAACCACATATAACTTGGTAGCTATGATACCTATGGTGGGTATATACCAATGGTAAGTATATACCACAGGTTGCTAGTTATATACCTATGGTAGGGCATAGGACTAAGATTAGTTAGAAGGTTACAGTGTAGAGTTAAGGGACAGGACAAGAAGAAATTCTGAATCTGTCTTTTGGACTAGTAAAATATACTTTGCATACACACTTAACAAATAAATCTCTGCTTAATACATACATTTGCTTGTATTAATGTTTATTAAGAATTAAGGTAGTGGGTGTGGTGGCTCAGGCCTGTAACACCAGCTACTTGAGAGGGTGATATGGGAGAATCAGATGAACCTGGGAAGTCAAGGCTGCAGTAAGACACAGCGAGACTCTATCTAAAAAAAAAAAAAAAAAAAAAAAAAAAGGTAGGCTGGGCACAGTGGCCCACGCCTGTAATCCCACCACTTTCGGAGGCTGAAGCCGGTGGATAACCTGAAGGCAGGAGTTTGAGATCTGCATGGCCAACATGGCAAAAACCCATCTCTACTAAAAAATACAAAAATTAGCCGGGCGTGGTGGCACACACCGGTAGTCCCAGCTACTCAGGAGGCTGAGCCAAGAGAATGGCTTGAACCTGGGAGGCAGAGGTTGCAGTGAGCCAAGATTGTGCCACTGAACTCCAGCTTGGGTGACAGAGCAAGACTCCATCTCAAAATAATAATAATAAATTTAACAAGTTTGTTTTTGTTCATATAAGAGAAAACATAAAGAGATATTCTGCTATTTCATACTATGTGAAATGTCTTATATATCTCTGGGATGCTCACCATTCACTGTGTAGATGAAAATACAGACACCAGGAACCACTGAAGAGACGTGTCAAGTAAGCACTGGAGTTATAGGGGTAAATGAGTGGCTTAGGAGAAAACTTTAATGTAAAAGTGGCAAATGGCACATTAGAAAAATCAGAAAAACATTTATACAAAAGCAACAGCAGTGGGGGAAAGAAGTTTAACGTGACTTTGTGATTAACTGGACATTAGTTAATAATCACTGGGAGAAAGGGGGAGGGCAGCACCCATAGTGTCTGAATGCCTTGCTTGTGGGTACAGTCATAGTGCCAATTATTTTCATTCCTTCACTTTTATTGGTAGAACTGTTTAAGGCTATGAAATTTCCTCTAACCATTGCTTTATTTATACTCCATGAAATCTGAAAGGCAGTATTTTTACTTGCAGAACATCTTAGCTGGATATAAATTCTTGGTTCATTTTTTTTCTTCTTCTTTTGAAATGGAGTCTGGCTCTGTCTCCCAGGCTGGGTGGTGCAATCTCGGCTCACTGCAACCTCTGCCTCCCAGGTTCAAATGATTCTTCTACATCAGCCCCCCCAAGTAGCTGGGATACAGGCGCCTGCCACCACACCCAGCTAATTTTTATATTTTCAGTAGAGACGGGGTTTCAGCATATTGGCCAGGCTGGTCTCGAACTCCTGACCTCAGGTTATCTACCCGCCTTGGCCTCCCAAAGTGCTGGGATTATGGGCCTGAGCCACCAGCCCAGCCGGTTCTTTTTTTTTTTTTTTGACACGGAGTCTCGCTCTGTCACCCAGGCTGGAGTGCAGGGGCGCGAACTCAGCTCACTGCAAGCTCCGCCTCCCGGGTTCACGCCATTCTCCTGCCTCAGCCTCCCGAATAGCTGGGACTATAGGCGCCCGCTACCTCACCCGGCTAATTTTGTACAAACTAACATTATTATGTGGCAACCAGGAAGTCTGTAAATGAAAACAGGAATACAAGGAAAAGGATAAATTGGGCAGGAGTTAATGAGTTGAATTTTGTTCATTCTGTGCTTAAAGTGACTATGGAACATAAAAATGGAATTGTCCATTTTGGCAGATACACATATGAGTAAGTTTCCGCAGACAGAATTTTCAAATATATAAAAAACAGAGTTCTAGAAGAGCCCAAAAAAGAAGCTGTGGGGGCCGGGCATGGTGGCTCACGCCTGTAATCCCAGCTCTTTGGGAGGTCAAGGCGGGCGGATCACCCGAGGTTGGGAGTTCGAGACCAGCCTGACCAACATGGAAAAACCTTGTTTCTATTAAAAATACAAAATTAGCCGGGCATCGTGGCTCATGCCTGTAATCCCAGCTACTCGGGAGGCTGAGGCAGGAGAATCGCTTAAACCTGGGATATGGAGGTTGTGGTGAGCCGAGATCATGGCATTGCACTCCAGCCTGGGCAACAAAGATTGAAACTCCATCTCAAAAAAAAAAATTTTTAAAAAAAGGCTAACAGATGGCCAGGTGCAATGGCTGATGTCTGTAATCCCAGCACTTTGGGAGGCTAAGGCACATGGATCATGAGGTCAGGAGTTCAAGACCAGCCGGGTCAAGATTGTAAAACCCATCTCTACTAAAAATACAAAAAATTAGCCAGACATGGTAGCGGGTGCCTTTAATCCCAGCTAATCAGGAGGCTGAGGCAGAGAATTGCTTGAACCCAGGAGGTGGAGGTTGCAGCGAGCCAAGATTGCGGCATTGCACTCCAGCCTGGGCAAGATAGCAAAACTCTGTTTCAAAAAAAAAAGCTAACAGTTATGTAAGAATAACTATTTCTCATATAGCCATAACAGGAAACTATAAAATTTAAAATGGACTGCTTACAGAAGAAGTGAGAAGGAAAAGACTATTTTGTAAACTAAACTGTCCTTCAAAGATACTTATAAATATACATTAACAAAGTGCTCACATCTTTTCATGAAATATTCACTAAAAGACCATTTTCTGGGCCAGAAAAATATCTTAAACTAAAAGAATTGAAATCTACCAAATACATTCTCTAAACACAGTAGACATAAACTAGAAATCAGTAACAGAAACTTATCTGGAATGCTATCAAATATTTGAAAATAATAGGTGAGCACTTTGTTTAATGTTATTGGGAAATAACATTTGAACTTGGTTCTCTGAAAAAACTAAGAAAGCTGATAAACCTATATCCAGAATGACCAAGATAAAAAATACACGTTAACAACATCAGAAATGAAAAGGGGAATAGTTACTATAGGCCCTACAAACAGTAAAAGGAAAATAAGAGAATACTAAGAACCAGTCTATGTGCATAAATTTGACAACTAAGATGAAATGGATTAATTCTTTGAAAGAAGATAACTACCAAAACTCACTCAGGAAGAAATATCTAAGATAAATAATATTACCTAGTATCAATTACATTAAATAAACTGAATCTGTAGTTAAAAATGTTTCAACATGACTGACTTCATAAGAAATGGTGACTTAGGGCGCTCTAAGAATTGGTCCCTCCACTGAGGCAACCACTAAAGCTGACAAAAACTGATAGAATCAAGTTTTTGGAACTGTAGAATCTTTTTTCTGTTTTTTTTTTTTTTTCTTTTCTTTCTTTTTATTTATTTATTTTTTGAGACAGAGTCTTGCTCTGTCACACAGGCTGGAGTGCAACTGATCTCAGCTCACTGCAACTGCAACCTCTGCCTCCCGGGTTCAAGCAGCTCTCCCGCCCCAGCCTCCCAAGTAGCTGGGATTACAGGGGCCCACCACCACGCCCAGCTAATTTTAGTAGAGATGGGGTTTCACATGTTGGCCAGGCTGGTCTAGAACTCCTGACCTTAGGTGACCCACCCATCTCAACCTCCCAAAGTGCTGGGATTATAGGCACGATCCACTGTGCCCAGCCTCAGTGGAGTACTTAATAAAGAAAGAGGCTGCTAAATTTTGGGGAGAAAGTGCGTGGCACTTTTTTCTTACTGGCCTACTGATATAGTTTGGATGTGTGCCCCTCCAAATTTCATGTTGAAATATAATCCCCAGTGTGGGAGTTGGGGACTGGTGGGAGGTATCCAGGTCACGGGGGTGTATCTCTTATGGATGGTTTAGCACCATTCCCTTGATAATGAGTGAGTTCTCATTTGGCTCACATGAGATCTGGTTGTTTAAAAGAGTCTGGCACCAGGCGTGGTGGCTAACGCTTGTAGTCCCAGCACTTTGGGAGGCCGAAGCAGGTGGATAACCTGAGGTCAGGAGTTTGAGACCAGCTGGCCAAGATGGCGAAACCCTGTCTCTACTAAAAATACAAAAATTAGATGGGTGTCATGTTCCACGCCTGTAGTCTCAACTACTTGGGAAGCTGAGGAAGGAGAATTGCTTGAACCTGGGAGGCAGAGGTTGCCATGAGCCAAGACTATGCCACTGCACTCCAGCCTGGGTAACAGAGTGAGACTCCACCTCAAAAAATAAATAACTAAATGAATAACTAAAGAGTCTAGGACCTACCCCTTTTCTCTCTCTCTTGCTCCCACTGTCACTATGTGATGTACTGGCTCTTGTTTCAACTTTCTGCCATGAGTAAAAGCTCCCTGAGGCCTCATCAGAAGCTGAGCAGATGCCAGTGCCATGCTTCCTGTACAGCCCGCATAACCATGAGCCAAGTAAACTCTTTTCTTTATAAATGACCCAGCCTCAGGTATTTCTTTGTAGCAATGCAAAAAAGAACTAACACAAAATTGGTACTGAGGAGTAGAGCATTGCTATAAAGATACCTGAAGATATAGAAGCAGTTTTGAAACTGAGTAACAAGCAGAGGTTGGAAGAATTTGGAGGGCTCAGAAGAAGACACTAAGATGAGGGAAAGTTTGAAACTTCTAAGAGACTGGTTAAATGGTTGTGACCAAAATGCTGATAGTGATATGGACAGTGAAGGCTAAGCTGATGAGGTCTCAGAAGAAAATGAGGAATTTATTGGAAACTGGAGTATAGGTCTCCCATGTTTTATACTGGCACAGAGCTTGGCTGCATGTCCCAGGGATCTGTGGAAGACTAAACTTAAGAATGATGACCTAGCGTATCTGGCAGAAGAAATTTCTAAGCAGCAAAGCATTCAAGATGTGGCCTGACTGCTCCTAACAGCCTATGATCAAATATAGGAGCAAAGAAATGACTTAAAGTTGGAGCCGATATTTAAAAGGGAATCAAAGCATAAAGTCTGGAAAGTTTGCAGCCTGGTCATGTGGTACAGAAAGAATCCAAGCCCAAGCAGGCTGTGAAGCAACTACTGCTAGAGAGATTAGCATGACTCAAACGGAGCCAAGTAACAATCCAACACAATGGGGAAAATGCCTTAAAGGCATTTCACAGATCTTCAGGACTGCGCCTTCCATCACAGGCCCAGAGGCCTAGGAGGAATGAATAGTTTCAGGGTCCAGGCCTAGGGCAATGCAGCCCTGTGCAGCCTTGTGACACTGCTCCCCATATCTCAGCTGCTCTGGTTCCAGCTTCAGCTCAAGGGGGCCCAGGTACAGCTTTAGCCCCAGC